TCTGCGTTCCGGGTCTGGGGATCTCGGGCGTTTGTCCGCGACTTGTCTGCGGACAAGCTGTCCCCCCGTGCTGTTCCTTGCATCTTCGTTGGCTTCCCCCCTGACGCGCCTGGCTGGCAGTTTTACCACCCCACCACGCGTCGTGTTCTGTCCTCCCACGACGTCACCTTTGACGAGTCAGTGCCTTACTAACATCTCTTCCCCTACCGCACTGCGCCCCTCCCCCCGCCGCCGCTCTTCCTTGCGCCAAGTGCTACCCAGGTAGACCCCCTCCCTCCTCAGAGTCCTGCCCCTTCAGGTGTGTCCCAGGTAGACGCAGTCGAGGCTGTCGAGGTAGCTGTAGACTCTCGTGCGGCTAGAGGTGCTGAGCCTGCAGGTGCCGGGTCTGCGGGTGCCGGGTCTGGGGGTGCTGAGTCTGGGGGTGCTGAGACTGGGGGTGCTGAGCCTGGGGGCGCTGAGTCTGGGGGTGCGGAGCGTGGGGGTGCTGGGTCTGCTCGTGTGGCCGCCGGCGGTACTTCGTCGAGGCGGGAGCCGCTCTCTCCACAGGTTCTGCGCGTGTGGTTCGCCCGCCCCTGGAGACGTGCTGCTGAGGCAGCTGTTGCTGACGGTCCTACTGGAGTTGGTGCTACTGGAGCTAGAGCTGCTGGGGGTGTTGGCGCTGGTGTTTCTACTGGTGCTAGTGTGTCTGGGGGTACTGCTGAGGCAGCTGGTGCTGACGGTCCTAATGGAGTTGGTGCTGCTAGAGCTGGAGCTGCTGGGGGTGTTGGCGCTGGTGTTTCTACTGGTGCTGGTGCGTCTGGGGGTGCTGCTGAGGCAGCTGGTGCTCATGGTCCTACTGGGGTTGGTGCTCCTGGAGCTGGAGCAGCTGGGGGTGTTGGCGCTGGCGGTGCTGCTGGCGCTTGTGCTTCTGAGAGTACTGGAGTTGGCGCTGTTGGAGCTGGAGGTTCTGCTGGCGCTGGTGCTGCCGTTTGGGGTACTGGTGCCATACTTGCTGGTTCTGGAGGCGCTGAGCGGCCGAGGCCGTACTTCGTTCCGCTCCTGGAGCAGGTTCTTGGTCTCCCGCCCTCTACTGGTCCTGCTCCTCCCCTAGAGTGTCCACTGCCTGTCCAGTCGCAGTCACAGTTACCGCCCGCCTCCCCTCTACCTGCTCCTTCTCCCTACACTGGTCCTACTGGAGGTCTTGCTGAGCGTCGTGAGCCTGCGTCTCGTCCCGCGTCACCTGTTCGTGCTGCTCGCACTAGTGGTCGTACTGCACGTCCGCGTCCTCTTGCGGTCCCCGGCACACACCAGATGGCATTGCGTCCTTCCACTGCTCCTCTGCGTGTCCCGTTGCCGTCTCCTCCAGAGTCCTCTCTTCCTTCTCTTGCTGACCCGGAGTCTGACCCCCTTCGTGCTGCTAGTCCTTCGGTCACGCGCCTTCTTGCTACTGTCGTCACTGACCTTTCCTTTGAGTCTGCTGCTGCGTCTGCTCTCGTTGCTTAGCTTGTCGACTTCGCTGCTCGCTGTCGTCTAGACTACGCTACTAGACTTGTTGCTGAGTCCGAGTCTGTCTGTCCTCCGTCCGTCGGGGGTGAGAGTGCTCTTAGTACGGACGTCCTTGAGGACAGGCAGGAGGAGTTCCAGTGCTTTGCAAAGGCTTTGCCCCATCTCGTGTCCACGCTGATTGCCCCTGAGGGAGACCCGGATGCACCAGACATCCCGACTCCTCGATCGTACGCTGAGGCGATCGAGGGTCCCTACTCCTCTCAGTGGCGGTCGGCCATGGACGCAGAGATGGCTTCCTGGAAGTCCACAGGCACCTACGTCGACGAGGTTCCCCCACATGGGGCAAATATCGTCTGTGGGATGTGGATCTTCAGGGTGAAGCGGCCCCGCCGGGCTCTTCGCCTGTCTTCAAGGCGCGTTACGTGGCTCGAGGCTTCAGTCAGCGGCAGGGAGTTAACTACTTTCAGACCTTCTCTCCCACCCCGAAGATGACCACTCTTCGGATGCTGCTGCACATAGCCGCTCAGCGCGACTACGAGCTTCACTCTCTTCACTTCAGCACTGCTTTCCTGCAGGGCAGCCTGCACGAGGAGATCTGGCTGCGCCGCCCTCCTGGCTTCACTGGGTCGTTTCCTCCTGGCACCAAGTGGAGCCTCCGGCGGCCAGTCTACGGTCTCCGCCAGGCGCCCCGTGAGTGGCACGACACACTGAGGACTACACTTGCGGCTCTTGGGTTTGCTCCTTCTACAGCCGACCCGTCGTTGTTTCTACGCACCGACACCTCTTTGCCGCCGTTCTACAACCTCGTGTACGTCGACGACCTGGTCTTTGCCACTGCTGACACTGCTGGACTCGCCCACGTGAAGTCGGAGCTGCAGAAGAGACACACGTGCACAGACCTGGGTGAACTGCGCAGTTACCTTGGCTTGCAGATCATCCGGGACAGACCACAGCGCACCATTACCCTAACTCAGTCACACATGGTGCAGCAGGTCCTTCAGCGCTTCGGCTTCACGTACTCCTCGCCTCAGGGTACTCCTCTGTCTACTCGCCACTCCCTCTCAGCTTTGCCTTCGGATGAGTCCGTAGAGTCGAGTGGCCCGTACCCAGAGCTTGTTGGCTGCCTTTTGTATTTGATGACCTGCACTCGACCTGACCTTGCATACCCTCTTAGCATTCTTGCACGCTATGTTGCTCCCGGGAGACACAGACCGGAGCACATGGCTGCAGCGAAGAGGGTGTTGCGCTACTTGTGCAGTACGTCGGGCATGGGGCTTGTGCTTGGAGGGCGGAGTCCAGTGGTCCTCACTGGGCACGCAGACGCTTCTTGGGCTAACGACCAGGCTACGCAGCAGTCGTCACAGGGTTACACCTTCAGCCTTGGTTCCGGCTCTGTTTCGTGGCGGGCTACCCGCTCGTCTTCAGTTCTCGGCTCCAGTTGTGAGGCCGAGATCTACGCCGGGGCCATGGCTGCACAGGAGCTTCGCTGGCTCACCTACCTGCTGTCTGACTTTGGAGAGGTGCCTCGTTCTCCTCCAGTGCTGTACGTAGACAACAAGGCCATGCTGGCCTTGTGTCGAGAGCAGAGACTGGAGCACAGAAAAAAGCACATTGCTCTTTGCTACTTCCTTGCTCGTGAGCTGCAGCAGCGTGGTCAGCTGCGTCTTGCGTACGTGGCCTCTGAGGCCAACACTGCTGATATCTTCACCAAGGCACTTGCGCCTTGTGATCATCAGCGCTTCTCTACTCAGCTTGGTCTTGTGCCTGTCTTGCCTCACTTGCTCACCTCTTGACTTTGCTTGTACTGTTACATATATATACACCTGCTCTTGCTTGTCTAGCTTTCTATATATATGTACTCATGCATGTAAACTGGCTTTGTGGCCTTGAACTTGTGCTCGGAATGTGTGGTGACTTTGTGATCCACCTTGAGCTTGCTTTCCTTTGCTTTGCTTGACTGGTCTTGTGACCGCTTGTTCTCCCCCACTTTGCCTATGGGGGTGTGTCAGAACATTATAGCTTATACATTCGTGTAAGCTGTAGTGGGGTAGCCCATAAGGGGTACAACCCAATTACGGTTAGTACTTGTACCCAACTGTTTCATAGTTCATTCATTCCATTATCACTTCTCGTCACTCGCGTCCAGGTGAGAAGTTACAGTCACATTCACTTGAATTCGACCCAATGAGGTGCTTCACATTCGAAAGTGATAAATGAAAACTTCGAAATGACTAGGTTGAGTTACAATGGAAACAAAATTGTGTAACACACTCACTCTTGAAGGACCAGTAGCGTGTGTACTTGGGAAAGGAAAACTGCAAACGTTTTTTCGTGAGGTTTAATGCTGCGCTTTCTGATATGGTACAATATAATGAGAACATATTGCACACTGCACAGAGCCATGCTCAATTCAGCGCAGTGGTGTGGTGAAGCTTAAAGCGTGTTCGAAGTACTGCACCAGTTCGACGTCGAAGTAATTCGGTGAATCGGGACCGTTGGAACCGTAGAAATTGAGCGACATCCCTCGACGTCGAGGAATGCAGTACTTTGAACAAGCTTTTAGCTTGCAATGTCAACACCAAAACACATCGCGAGAACCCTGAGCAGCTGTGCAGATGATGCCCACCCCATGCACGCGAATTTGTATCGCACTTAATCCATAATGAAGCACTGAATGGAAACGTTGCACCCGAGGTTTTTCTCCCGGCCTGTTGCACCCACGTTACAGACGCGTCGAATGGTTATGAACCAATAGTAACGAACAGACCGAAGTCAAACTGAAGAGGCTGAAGTCAAAATGTCAACAGATAAGGTTTCAGATCCTTTGTAAGCACACATGCGAATCCTTTTTAGCCAGCTGCGAATTGACGAAAATATTTCGAAATGCACATTACAGCTTATTAACCCCCTTCACGAGGCAACTGGGAGTGGCTCAAAGAGGCATCATGTATACCATTTCTGGAATCTCCACCTCAAGTCGGCTGAAAGTTCTGGATTTTGCTATGTCAGACACCAATGACTCCTGGTCCTGTGCTACTTTTTACACCCCACCCATCTCTGTGGGGGTACATTATGGCGTGTACAAAGAGCTCCACAAACTCGACGTCGAGGCACGTCGGTGAATCCTGTCGGTTGGAACCTTTAATCCGAGGGTGGAAATTCACCGACGTTGCTCGACGTCGAGTTTTTGTGCACTTTGCACACGCCATTATCAAGTGGGGACATCAACAAACGTCTAAATATGCAGAGAGCTGAACTGTCATAATTTGGATCCAATCCGAGGCCATCTGACTCCACACCTCTCAACATTTCTCGACGTCCTCCCACCCGAGTCACGTCTCACTACTCTCCAGTTGCATCCTTTGGCAGGTATCTTATATCCTGCCAAACACACAGAACAACGTCTCGTCATAACCCTAGTTAGTTGCGGAGTACTAGTAGTAGCTTTTTTCTACCGGCCGTAGCTAAATTACGAAGCAGGTCTGCTTTCTTGCCGCCTTGTAGTGGTACCGATCATGGCGGAGGCGGTCGCAGTAGTGCGCGCGAAGCAGCAGGCGGCGGAGGCGAATGGCGAAAGAGACGTGGCGGTGCTATCGCGGTCGGAGAGTTTGCTGGACGACAAGTTTGATGCGTATGAGACGGCCAACTATCGCATGTGGGTTCGATCCAAAACCGACGCGTTTTCCAGGTAAGCCGCCGAGCATCCATGTTCGCCCCGTGAAAGTTAACTCTACTACGAACTGGTGAGCTGGAACTTGCGAAGGCTTGTTACATAAGTGCAGCTTCACTAGTAGTAGGCTGCCACATTTTCCACTTTGGCATGAAAAGCACATGAGTTCCACCGTGCAAGCTAAGCACAGAAAATAGAAACCAGAACAGGGGCGGACGTGGGTGTGTGCTAGAGAGGGACCTGGGAACAGGGGCGGGACGTGGCTACCCCCACTACCCGCCACTACCCCACCACTACCCTCCACTACCCCCATTACCCGCCATTAACCCACTTCCTCTCCCTCCCCCATCATTACCCCCACTATTACTAGTTGTACCAACAAACAGGAAAAGGGGAACACACAATAGCCTGCTGTGTGTGGTGAGTGCCTGATGTGTGTGGTGAGTGCATCAAAGCCGCATCAAAGACGCATCAGAGCCGCATCGAAGCCAGCATCGAAGCCAGCATCGAAGCCAGCATGAAATCTCGCACCAAAGCCCACACCAAAGCCAGCATCAGAGCCAGCATCAGAGCCAGAATCAAGGCCACATGAAAGCCGCATCCGGCACACTGGCCGGCCCGTCGCTCCTCTCTGACCCACCACTCTCTCCGCCATGCCACCCCTGCAAAGCCTGTGGGCGGTTCTTGAGTCGACTCAAAAACCGCCCCTCTCTCTTCATGCCACCCCTGCAGAGCCTGTGGGCGGACCCCACGTGTGGCAACGGCTCGTGCGACCGCCCCTTCCAGTTCCCCGCGTTTGGCCGCTTTGGCTGCGAAGCAGACTGCGGCATGTTCCCCAACCTCACCTCCGTGGTCATCAGATTCTCCTCCCACCTCGACACACAGCAGGCCATTGACGAATCTTGCTGGAACCTCTGCATGGTCAATCCGGTCTCCCTCTGCTGGTATGCTCGTCCTCTCCTCACATCACACAACAGCCCTTGCTGTCCTTCCGCCTCTCTCTCTCTGCACTTCTTGCCGTTGTGTCCCGTGTTCTCTGCTCATGCCATCCTATCCCATCCTATCCTACCCTACCCAACCCCACCCCACCCCACCCCACCCCACCCCACCCCACCCCATCCCATCGCACCCCACGGCCATGTGTCATACGCAACGCAGGTACGAGGCGTTTCAGGCGTTTCCGCGGGGTGAGGCGGAGCTATCGGTGGCAGTGGACATTCCGGACGGCGACTGGGTGGTGGTGCTCAACGCGCCCGCGGGGGGCGTTCGCGGCACCGTGAACGCACCGCCTCCTGGCACGCGCCGCTTCTCCGTCGTCGGCGCCACCTCCACTGTTGAGCTCGCCGCCTGGGGGTCCTGCGCGCTTGATGATGGCGTTCTGGCAGCCAATCAGACAGCGCCACGTGGCGGCGCTACTGTTGCTGCGCCTGACATCTGTCGCGATGTGAGTATGCCGTTGCTTCATGTGCCACCTCTATAGGACATACTTACAAGTCGCCAGGCACACTTCCCGAGCGGAGTGTGTGCATGGCTTTAATCCCACTTGATGCCAATTCCACCCGCTGACTGTATGCACGCATGCATGCATGTGTGCTTGCGTGACTGCATGCAGACGTGTGCACGGCTGGTGGCCTGCCTGCCAGCAACCTGTGGGCGAGCATTCACGGAGAGGGAGGTGGCAGGGGCGTTCCTGGACTGTGCGCGCATGTGCATCATCGCACCCTCCTCCATCACCACCTATGCCGCCGCTCCCTGCCCCATGGTGTGGTCCCTGGCCCATGGTGTGGTCCCTGGCCCATGGTGTGGTCCCTGGCCCATGGTGTGGTCCCTGGCCCATGGTGTGGTCCCTGGCCCATGGTGTGGTCCCTGGCCCATGGTGTGGTCCCTGGCCCATGGTGTGGTCCCTGGCCCATGGTGTGGTCCCTGGTCCATGGTGTGGTCCCTGGCCCATGGTGTGCTCCCTGGCCCATGGTGTGGTCCCTGGCCCATGGTGTGGTCCCTGGCCCATGGTGTGGTCCCTGGCCCATGGTGTGGTCCCTGGCCCATGGTGTGGTCCCTGGCCCATGGTGTAGTCCCTGGCCCATGGTGTGGTCCCTGGCCCATGGTGTGGTCCCTGGCCCATGGTGTGGTCCCTGGCCCATGGTGTGGTCTCTGCCCCATGCTCCCCTCTCTGCCCCATGCTCCCCTCTCTGCCCCATGCTCCCCTCTCTTCCCCATGCTCCCCTCTCTGCCCCATGCTCCCCTCTCTGCCCCATGCTCCCCTCTCTGCCCCATGCTCACCTCTCTGCCCCATGCTCCCCTCTCTGCCCCATGCTCCCCTCTCTGCCCCATGCTCCCCTCTCTGCCCCATGCTCCCCTCTCTGCCCCATGCTCCCCTCTCTGCCCCATGCTCCCCTCTCTGCCCCATGCTCCCCTCTCTGCCCCATGCTCCCCTCTCTGCCCCATGCTCCCCTCTCTGCCCCATGCTCCCCTCTCTGCCCCCTGCTCCCCTCTCTGCCCCATGCTCCCCTCTCTGCCCCATGTTCCCCTCTATGCCCCATGCTCCCCTCTCTGCCCCATGCTCCCCTCTCTGCCCCATGCTCCCCTCTCTGCCCCATGCTCCCCTCTCTGCCCCATGCTCCCCTCTCTGCCCCATGCTCCCCTCTCTGCCCCATGCTCCCCTCTCTGCCCCATGCTCCCCTCTCTGCCCCATGCTCCCCTCTCTGCCCCATGCTCCCCTCTCTGCCCCATGCTCCCCTCTCTGCCCCATGCTCCCCTCTCTGCCCCATGCTCCCCTCTCTGCCCCATGCTCCCCTCTCTGCCCCATGCTCCCCTCTCTGCCCCATGCTCCCCTCTCTGCCCCATGCTCCCCTCTCTGCCCCATGCTCCCCTCTCTGCCCCATGCTCCGCTCTCTGCCCCATGCTCCCCTCTCTGCCCCATGCTCCCCTCTCTGCCCCATGCTCCCCTCTCTGCCCCATGCTCCGCTCCCTACCCCATGCTCCGCTCCCTACCCCATGCTCTGCTCCCTACCCCATGATGCTTCAGTGATTCAAATTCTGGTATGGATCAATCTGCCCTGCCGCATGCTGCTCTGCGCGAAGCTGTGCGTCGTGATTCCAACATGCCTCTCCCTGCAACATGCCTCTCCCTGCACCATGCCTCTCCCTGCACCTTGCCTCTCCCTGCACCATGCCTCTCCCTGCACCATGCCTCTCCCTGCAACATGCCTCTCCCTGCACCATGCCTCTCCCTGCACCATGCCTCTCCCTGCACCATGCCTCTCCCTGCACCATGCCTCTCCCTGCACCATGCCTCTCCCTGCACCATGCCTCTCCCTGCACCATGCCTCTCCCTGCAACATGCCTCTCCCTGCACCATGCCTCTCCCTGCACGATGCCTCTCCCTGCACCATGCCTCTCCCTGCACCACGCCTCACCCTGCACCATGCCTCTCCCTGCACCATGCCTCTCCCTGCAACATGCCTCTCCCTGCAACATGCCTCTCCCTGCACCATGCCTCTCCCTGCACCATGCCTCTCCCTGCAACATGCCTCTCCCTGCACCATGCCTCTCCCTGCACCATGCCTCTCCCTGCACCATGCCTCTCCCTGCACCATGCCTCTCCCTGCACCATGACTCTCCCTGCAACATGCCTCTCCCTGCACCATGCCTCTCCCTGCACCTAAGTTGGTCATTTACGCCATTTCAGCCCACGTACACGTAACGTACGCGTACATGTACGTTTACGTGGACGTAAGCGTACGTACGTGTACGTACGCCGGGCAGGTCAGAAAAAAAATATGCGTTGAAATTTCTTTGAAAACGGTTTCCGAAAAAACTAAAAAATAAAAAATATTTCGACGACCTGTGCTCTGTTAGCGTGTTAGCAAAACGGCGCGACGTTTGTCAAAGTAGTAATGTAAGAAACAGGAAGGTTGCTAGCTAGGGTCGCTATGGTGTGGCGACTACCCTACGTACTATTTCGACTAAGGCGGCAGAACTACGATAGCTAAGTCTGTCGAGAGAGGGAGGGAGAAAATTGTGGTGGGAGTAGATTTGAATGTGTGCAAACTGTTCGCGATAGAACATTGCGAACAGTTTGACTCAGATTGCGATTGCTTCGTTTGCAAGGTAAGCGAATGTCACCCGCTCGGCAGTTTCGTCACCGCCGAGCTTCACTGGTTTCGGCGAATCCCAACTTCGAGTCAAACCAATTCGCCAAGTCAAATCTAAATCTACACTACATGATGGAATTTTTACACTGTATGATGGAAATTATGATTACGAGGGACAAGTATAGAGAAAATATACATATCCGGGCAGCCCAGAAAAATTTTCACCTGCCCGTAAATTAGGCCTCCAACCCAACAGCCGCGTAAACGTACGTACCCGTACACGTACGTACGTAAACGTAAACGTAAATGACCAACTAAGCCCTGCACCATGCCTCTCCCTGCACCATGCCTCTCCCTGCACCATGCCTCTCCCTGCACCATGCCTCTCCCTGCACCATGCCTCTCCCTGCACCATGCCTCTCCCTGCACCATGCCTCTCCCTGCAACATGCCTCTCCCTGCACCATGCCTCTCCCTGCACGATGCCTCTCCCTGCACCATGCCTCTCCCTGCACCATGGTGCAGTGCACCATGCCTCTCCCTGCACCATGCCTCTCCCTGCACCATGCCTCTCCCTGCAACATGCCTCTCCCTGCACCATGCCTCTCCCTGCACCATGCCTCTCCCTGCACCATGCCTCTCCCTGCACCATGCCTCTCCCTGCACCATGCCTCTCCCTGCACCATGCCTCTCCCTGCAACATGCCTCTCCCTGCACCATGCCTCTCCCTGCACTATGCCTCTCCCTGCAACATGCCTCTCCCTGCACCATGCCTCTCCCTGCACCATGCCTCTCCCTGCACCATGCCTCTCCCTGCACCATGCCTCTCCCTGCACCATGCCTCTCCCTGCAACATGCCTCTCTCTGCACCATGCCTCTCCCTGCACCATGCCTCTCCCTGCACCATGCCTCTCCCTGCAACATGCCTCTCCCTGCACCATGCCTCTCCTTGCACCATGCCTCTCCCTGCACCATGCCTCTCCCTGCACCATGCCTCTCCCTGCACCATGCCTCTCCCTGCACCATGCCTCTCCCTGCACCATGCCTCTCCCTGCACCATGCCTCTCCCTGCACCATGCCTCTCCCTGCACCATGCCTCTCCCTGCACCATGGTGCAGTGCACCATGCCTCTCCCTGCACCATGCCTCTCCCTGCACCATGCCTCTCCCTGCAACATGCCTCTCCCTGCACCATGCCTCTCCCTGCAACATGCCTCTCCCTGCACCATGCCTCTCCCTGCACCATGCCTCTCCCTGCACCATGCCTCTCCCTGCACCATGCCTCTCCCTGCAACATGCCTCTCCCTGCACCATGCCTCTCCCTGCACCATGCCTCTCCCTGCAACATGCCTCTCCCTGCACCATGCCTCTCCCTGCACCATGCCTCTCCCTGCACCATGCCTCTCCCTGCACCATGCCTCTCCCTGCACCATGCCTCTCCCTGCAACATGCCTCTCCCTGCACCATGCCTCTCCCTGCACCATGCCTCTCCCTGCACCATGCCTCTCCCTGCAACATGCCTCTCCCTGCACCATGCCTCTCCCTGCACCATGCCTCTCCCTGCACCATGCCTCTCCCTGCACCTTGCCTCTCCCTGCACCATGCCTCTCCCTGCACCATGCCTCTCCCTGCACCATGCCTCTCCCTGCACCATGCCTCTCCCTGCACCATGCCTTTCCCTGCACCATGCCTCTCCCTGCACCATGCCTCTCCCTGCACCATGCCTCTCCCTGCACCATGCCTCTCCCTGCACCATGCCTCTCCCTGCACCATGCCTCTCCCTGCACCATGCCTCTCCCTGCACCATGCGTCTCCCTGCTCCATGCCCTTCCCTGCACCATGCCTCTCTCTGCACCATGCCTCTCCCTGCACCATGCCTCTCCCTGCACCATGCCTCTCCCTGCACCATGGTGCAGTGCACCATGCCTCTCCCTGTACCATGCCTCTCCCTGCACCATGCCTCTCCCTGCACCATGCCTCTCCCTGCACCATGCCTCTCCCTGCACCATGCCTCTCCCTGCACCATGCCCTTCTCTGCACCATGCCTGTCCCTGCACCATGCCTCTCCCTGCACCATGCCTCTCCCTGCACCATGCCTCTCCCTGCACCATGCCTCTCCCTGCACCATGCCTTTCCCTGCACCATGCCCTTCCGTGCACCATGCCTCTCCCTGCACCATGCCTCTCCCTGCACCATGCCTCTCCCTGCACCATGCCTCTCCGTGCACCATGCCTCTCCCTGCAACATGCCCTTGCCTGCACCATGCCTCTCCCTGCACCATGCCTCTCCCTGCACCATGCCTCTCCCTGCACCATGCCCTTCCCTGCACCATGCCCTTCCCTGCACCATGCCGCGTCACGTCACCCCTGCCCTGTTTCTCTCTCCTGCTTGACACACAATCCTGCCTTTGATGCCCCCTCGCACACTCTCCCAGCCGGAGATTGCATCAATGTTTTCCAACACGCCATGCAACGTTTCAGGTACGTACTGCCTGGATGTGCCTTTATGCCATGCTCCCCTTCCTGCGAGTATGCCATGCTCCCCTTCCTGCAAGTATGCCATGCTCCCCTTCCTGCAAGTATGCCATGCTCCCCTTCCTGCAAGTATCCCATGCTGCCCTTCCTGCAAGTATGCCATGCCCCCCTTCCTGCAAGTATGCCATGCTCCCCTTCCTGCAAGTATGCCATGCTCCCCTTCCTGCAAGTATGCCATGCTCCCCTTCCTGCAAGTATGCCATGCTCCCCTTCCTGCAAGTATGCCATGGTCCCCTTCCTGCGAGTATGCCATGCTCCCCTTCCTGCGAGTATGCCATGCTCCCCTTCCTGCACCTCCTTCCACTCGTGCCACATACCAGCCTCCTTCATATGTGCTCCTTTCACTGATCGTACATGCTTGTTCACTTGGACTCTCCTTGCCTCTCCTTGCCTCTCCTTGCCTCTCCTTGCCTCTCCTTGCCTCTCCTTGCCTCTCCTTGCCTCTCCATGCCTCTCCTTGCCTCTCCTTGCCTCTCCTTGTCTCTCCTTGCCTCTCCTCGTCTCTCCCTGCTCTGCTGATACGTTTTGTGGAGCCAAGTGCCTCTCCTCTCCGTGCACGTCGCACCCCCTTCACTGCGCCTCACTGGCTCCGTCCCATCCCACCATGCCAGGCTCAGACGCAACGGGTCGTGTGTCTGGTGGCAACCGCCGCAAGGTGATCTCTCCCCACTTCACCTCAACCACTGTCTTTTTCACCTGTTATACCCCGCTCTGTGTGTTTCCTTTTCGTGAGAGCCGTTCTTGACTGCTCGCTGTCACTCTTCCCTCCCTCCTCTGCACTCCCACCTGTCACTCTTCACCCAGGGGGGATGCTGTGCAGTTGCTCCTGTAATCACCTTGCTGCACACTTTTGAATCACTCATCCAGTCTTTCACAAACCGCCCTTCCCCAATCAACTCCCCCAATCCCTAATGCATGGCTACTCTCAGGCGCTCTTCCGCTTCCACCACCCTCGCAGCTATGAGCGCTGGCCCGCCTCAACTGCCCCTGGCCCGCATGACACCCTCTCCCACCCCACTGCGGCTAAAGTGCGCTGTCTTGCTGCCCCTGCTGTCGACTTTCCTGGTGCGTCTGCCTCTCACACTGCCACAGCACTCGCAGCAGCACACCTGCAAGAAGCACAGTGGTCTGAAGTGACACCAGCATCAGCACCACCATCCCCAGCAGCAGCCATGGCAGCAGGTTCACCAGCAGCAGCAGTGATGGCTGCGGAAGGAACAGCAGCCGCAGCGGACCCCATAGAACCTTCCCTCTGGTCCCACCTGGGTGCCACGGACCAGCAGAGACTGACAGTCCTGCAGGTGGCGGTGTCGCGCGCGCTCTTCACCATGGCCAAGGACCGCTGCCTCGCAGGCCGAGCGCCGGGAGCAAGCAGGAAGCACGCGCAGGGAGGTCCTGGTAGCGTGAGTTGGAACATGGTGGCGTGCCTGTGCACCATACTGGGGGGGCCCTCCAAGACGCTGGACGAGTGTCGCCTCACGGATGAAGCAGGGCAACGGGTGGAGTCTATTCCGGACATGTATGTGTACCTGCGCTGCACGCATGTGAGGGGCGGGCGCGTGATCTCATCGCAGCACATGCGGCGCTTCGTGCAGACGGTGGCGGCGGCGCTGCGCTCCGTGACGCTCATTTCGGATGCGGCGGCTGCGCGCCTCAAAACGCTCATGCACGCCTTCGATGATGCCATCGTCACCTCCGACGCTGTCGGCTGCTCGCAAGGTACCCATGGCTGGTGCTCTTGCTGCTGGTCGCTTGCGCATGTGCAGTGCGCGTGTCTGTGGATGCATGGGAGTATGTATGGTGCAAGGTGCATGTATGTGTCGCTGTGTGTTCCTTTTGAGAAATTTCAAAACTGTTACTGTCACTTTGCCATGTTAAATGGATCATAATTGACTGCTGCGGCTCCTCCTCTCGTTTCTGACTCCCGTCAGGCGGTGCGTGGCTGCGGTGACGGGCGGGTGTGAAGCACAACACGACCATCCATGTGGGCGACAAGGTCACGTGGGTGTGGGATGACGACCTCCCACACTCAATCAAAGGTGCTCCTCTCTCCCACCTGCGTTGGGTGGGTGTCACTAGTTGTGTGCAACCGATGCTACGCCTTATGCATAGCAATACTGATCCATCTTGCTCCTACTCTACTCTGTGAACCGCTTTTTGCTTGTTATGTTTGCCTGCACCACTTCATCCCCAATTCTCCCTATCTCCATTGCCACCACCATCAGTGGCAGCGATGGGTGAGGAAGACGACCCGCTATTTCTAGGCTTTGGAGGGCACCGTTTGGTCGTGTCGCGCAGGCTGGCTTGCACTCCCATGAATGTGGGCCGGTGGGACACCTCTGAAGAACCACAGCCATGCGTGCTGAGTGAGTGGCGGATGTGCTCAGTTAGCGATAAGGTATGCCGGGTCAGCGGGAGGTTTTCTAATAGCATGGCATCACATTACTGTACGAAAGCGTTCAACACATGGTTGTTCACATCCACACATGACTGTTCAAATGCACACATGGCTGTCCACATGCACACATGGCTGTCCACATGCACACATGGCTGTCCACATGCACACATGGCTGTCCACATGCACACATGGCTGTCCACATGCACACATGACTGTCCTTCCACATGTGCCATCTCACCCTGTTGCCGCATCCTCACACCCCATCTTTCCTCCCACTGTCCTCCACTCCCTCCTGCGCCTCCCCCAATGCGTCCAACCAGAGATGGACGACGAGTCCCCCGGCTCCTTCTCGTACAGGGGATGAGCAAAGGGCGAACTCGAACACGTTCGGGTTCGCCCCCCCTCGAACATCACCATTTCCCAAACCGAACAAGGTTCGGTTCGGCGAACAATTTGGCAAGTAGGAGGTGTTCGCCGTTCGCCCATGGGGGCGAACATTTGGTATATGTGGGCGAACTCGAACATGTTCGAGTTCGCCCGTGGGCAATTTCGTTATAGTCACATTGGTCAAACAGGGAATCTGGAGGGTTGGGAAGATAGATAGGGGGGTGGAGGGTGTATATGTGTTCATGCAACGCACACTAGCATACGACACCATCATGTTTTGCCTATATAAAAGTCACTGTCAAATTAAATCCTACGCCTGCACACCACTGCTACTACCAACAACAGCATGCTCCGCGTCAGAGGTGTCGCCAGCACCCACCCCCTCCTGCTCCTCCTCCCCCTCCTCCTCCTCCCACTCGTCGTCGTCCTCCTCCCCCTCGCCTTCAATGGCGAACTCTGGTGGTGCCTCGCCTTTTGCACGGCGGCCCTCGCCTATCCTCTGTCCAGGGTGTGAGCTGTACCATGATCTGAGAATCATGGAAGCTCGCGTCCTCTGAGAGGCTAGGCGGTGCCGCTTCCAGGAAATGAGGTTGCGGCCGAGGGAGAACACGCGCTCGCTCGACGCGGACGTGGCAGGGATGGCAAGATAATCCCGGGCCATGCGCCTCAGCGTCTGCATGTTGGTGGCGCTGCGCCAATACTCCAACGCTAACACGTCGCACCGCACCCTCTCAGATAAGTACCTGCCAACCTCGTCATCCTGCACCATCCCACCCCTCCCCGCCTCCTGGCTCGCCGACAGACGCGCTGCAAGGCGTCGGCGACTAGGGAGAAACTCGGCGTCTTCGTCGTTATCCGCCGCGTCTCCCTCCTCCTCCTCCGTCACTGGGGCAAGTGGGGTCTGAGAAAATGTGAACGAGAATGAATGAACTATGAAAGAGTTGGGTACAAGTACTAACCCTAATTGGGTTGTACCCCATATGGGCTACCCCACTCCAGCCTACACAAAAGCATAAGCTATAATGTTCTGACACACCCCCATAGGCAAAGTGGGGGAGAACAAGCGGTCACAAGACCAGTCAAGCAAAGCAAAGCAAAGCAAGCTCAAGGTGGATCACAAAGTCACCACACATTCCGAGCACAAGTTCAAGGCCACAAAGCCAGTTCACATGCATGAGTACATATATATAGAAAGCTAGACAAGCAAAAGCAGGTGTATATATATGTAACAGTACAAGCAAAGTCAAGAGGTGAGCAAGTGAGGCAAGACAGGCACAAGACCAAGCTGAGTACAGAAGCGCTGATGATCACAAGGCGCAAGTGCCTTGGTGAAGATATCAGCAGTGTTGGCCTCAGAGGCCACGTACGCAAGACGCAACTGACCACGCTGCTGCAGCTCACGAGCAAGGAAGTAGCGAAGAGCAATGTGCTTCGTTCTGTGCTCCAGTCTCTGCTCTCGACACAAGGCCGGCATGGCCTTGTTGTCTACGTACAGCACTTGAGGAGAACGAGGCGGCTCTCCAAGGTCAGTCAGCAGGAAGGTGAGCCAGCGAGGCTCCTGTGCAGCCATGGCCCCGGCGTAGATCTCAGCCTCACAACTGGAGCCGAGAACAGAAGACGAGCGGGAAGCCCGCCACAAAACAGAGCCGGAACCAAGGCTGAAGGTGTAACACTGTGACGACCGCTGCATAGCCTGGTCGTCTGCCCAAGAAGCGTCCGCGTGCCCAGTGAAGACCACTGGACTCCGCCCTCTAAGCACTAGCCCCATGCCCGACGTACTGCACAAGTAGCGCAACACCCTCTTCGCTGCAGCCATGCGCTCTGGTCTGTGTCTCCCAGGAGCAACATAGCGTGCAAGAATGCTAAGAGGGTATGCAAGGTCAGGTCGTGTGCAGGTCATCAGGTACATGAGGCAGCCAACAAGCTCTGGGTACGGGCCACTCGACTCTACGGACTCATCCGAAGGCAGAGCTGAGAGCGAGTGGCGAGTAGACAGAGGAGTGGCCTGAGGCGAGGAGTACGTGAAGTCGAAGCGCTGAAGGACCTGCTGCACCATGTGTGACTGAGTCAGGGTAATGGTGCGCTGTGCTCTGTCCCGGGTGAACTGCAAGCAAAGGTAGCTGCGCAGTTCACCCAGGTCTGTGCACGTGTGTCTCTTCTGCAGCTCGGACTTCACGTGGGCGAGTCCAGCAGTGTCACCTGTGGCAAAGACCAAGTCGTCGACGTACACGAGGATGTAGAACGGCGGCAGAGAGGTGTCGGTGCGTAGAAACAGCGACGGGTCAGCAGTAGAGGGAGCAAACCCAAGAGCCGCAAGTGTAGTCCTCAGTGTGTCGTGCCACTCGCGCGGTGCCTGGCGGAGACCGTAGACTGGCCGTCGGAGGCTCCACTGGGTGCCAGGAGGGAAAGTCCTAGTGAAGCCAGGTGGACGGCGCAACCAGATCTCCTCGTGCAGGCTACCTTGCAGGAAAGTAGTGCTGAAGTCAAGGGAGTGAAGCTCGTAGTCACGCTGAGCAGCTACGTGTAGCAGCACCCAAAGAGTGGTCATTTTCGCGGTGGGAGAGAAGGTCTGAAAGTAGTCAACTCCCTGCCGCTGACTGAAGCCACGAGCCACGTACCGCGCCTTGAAGACAGGTGGAGAGCCCGGTGGCCGCTTCACCCTGAAGATCCACATCCCACTGACGATGTTCGCCCCAGGAGGGGGAACCGCGTCAACGTAGGTGCCTGTGGACTTCCAGGAAGCCATCTCTGCATCCATAGCTGCCTGCCACTGAGAGGAGTAGGGACCCTCTACGGCCTCCGCGTAAGAGCGCGGAGTCGGGATGTCTAGTGCATCCGGGTCTCCCTCAGGGGTAAGCAGTACGGACGCGAGATGAGGTGAAGCAGCAGCCATACACTGGAACTCCTCCTGCCTGTCCTCAAGGACGTCCGTGCCAAGAGCACACTCACCCCCGATGGACGGAGGACAGCCAGACGCAGACTCAGCAACAAGACTAGCAGCGTAGTCTAGACGACAGCGAGCAGCAAAGTCGACGAGCTCAGCAACAAGAGCAGACGCAGCAGTGGACTCAAAGGAGGGGTCAGTGACGATAGAAGCAAGGAGACGCGTGACAGTAGGACTGGCAGCACGAAGACAGTCCGACTAAGGGTCGGCAAGCACAGGAGGAGAGGGCAAGGGGGCACGCAGAGGAGCAGTGGACGGACGCAGAGACATCCGGTGCGTGCCAGGGACAGGAGGAGGACGCTGACGTGAAGTGCGACCACTAGTGCGAGCAGCACGAACAGGCGACACAGGACGAGACGCAGGCTCACGACGTTCAGCAAGACCTCCAGTAGGACCAGTGTACGTAGAAGGAGAAGGGAGTGGGGAGACCGTTGGTAACTGTGACTGCGACTGGACAGGCGGTGGACACTCTAAGGGAGGAGGAAGACCAAGAACCTGCTGAAGGAGCGGAACAAAGTACGGCCGAGGCCTCGCGGCGACTCCAAGCACAGCAGGGACAGCACAAGCACCCCCAGCGGCAGTACCAGCGTCAACAGCACCTCCAGCTCCAGTACCTCCAGCAGCACCAGTAGCACCCGCAGCAGGACCGCCGCAAGGACTGACAGCAGTAGCCTCCGCGCCAACACCCTCAGCAGCTCCAACTCCAGTAGCACTCGCAGGACTAGCACCTCCGAGACCTGCGGCACCAGCACCCTCAGCAGCCGAAGAAGCACCTGCTCCAGTAGTACGCCTCCAGCGCCGGGCAAACCACTCGCGCAGCTCCTGTGGAGAGAGTGGCTCCCGCCGAGACGAAGCACCCGGAGAACCAGCAGGCCCAGCACCGCCAGACGCCACACGAGCAGGTCCAGCGGCCGCGGGCTCCGCACCCCCAGGCTCAGTAGCTCCAGACTCAGCACCCCCAGGCTCAGCAGCTCCAGACGTAGCACCCCCAGTCGAAGGACCCCCAGGCTCAGCACCCCCAGTCGTAGCACCCCCAGGCTCAGCACCCCAAGTCGTAGCACCCACAGGCTCAGCACCCCGAGGCTCAGCACCCCCAGTCGCAGCATCCTCAGACGCAGCACCTCCAGGCTCAGCACCCACGCGCGCAGCACCCTCAAAGTCAGCACCCCCAGGCTCAGCACCCGCAGCAGTACCAGAATCACCAGCAACCTCGACCGGCTCAACTGCATCTACCTGGGACACACCTGAAGGGGCAGGACCCTGAGGGGGGAGGGGGTCTACCGGGGGGGGACCTGGCACAAGGAAGTGCGGTGGCGGGGGGAGGGAAGGAGTGCGGTAGGGGAAGAGGCGGTAGTAGGGTACTGACTCGTCGAACGTGACGTCATGGGAGGACAGAACACGACGAGAGGTGGGGTGGTAGAACTGCCACCCAGGGGCGTCAGGGGGGAAGCCAAGGAAGACACAGGGAGCAGCACGAGGGGACAGCTTGTCCGCAGACAAGTCGCGGACAAACGCCCAAGATCCCCAGACACGGAACGCAGACGCATCGCCGACCTTCCCCGTCCACAGCAAGGCTGGGGAGGTCTCCGGTCTGGAGACCTTGGGGTGAAGGTTGATCTGATGCGCCGCGTACCGAACCGCAAACGGCCACAGAAAATGGGGGGCAGCCGCATGCATCATGGACGTATGAGCGACGTCCATGACCATGCCAATGCGGCGCTCAGCAATCTCATTTTGCTGTGGAGAGTCCGCAAGCAAAAAGGTCAGGCGGATGCCTCGCTCACGACAGTAGGCTCGCAGAAGGCCAGAGGAGAACTCTCCGCCTTGGTCAGAGTGCAGACGTAGAACAGGAAAGTCCGAGCCAAAGCTCCTCCTGAGCTGGAGACGAGCTGCGCGGATCCAGTCGATCAACACCTCAGCGACATCACCCTTGCTGCGCAAGGGGAAGACTGTGGTGTAACGCGAGTAGTCGTCAACCACCAGCAGGAAGTAGCGCTCATGACCCTGTCCACGGACGCGGGCGGGGCCCCACACGTCCATGTGAAGCGTCTGCAGCGGGGCCTCTGTCGGGGGAAATTGAGAGGAGTGAGGGGCAGCTCGGAGCCGCCCCTCGACACAGGGGACACAGGAAGGACCAGGCCCCGGAGGAAGGGGAGGGAGGGACCGGGGAAGACCAGAGACAAGGACACGGGAAGCCATGCCTCGGAGACGAGGCAGGGAGGGGTGACCAAGACGGTGGTGCCAGAGGAGAGTCTCGTGAGACAGGAGGTGACACGAGCAGGGGGCAGACTCAGGACCAGACCTGGACGCTGCAGCAAACACCTGACCCGACGCAGCTACCTGACCAGACGCAGTGACTGGAGGAGACTCAGTGGTCAGTGTGTACTGGCTCGACCCCGGCCGACGTGTAAACGTGGCCAGGTGTCGGCCTGTCCGAGCGTCCGTGCAGTGGGTCACCCGCTGACTCGCAGGAGTGAACTGGTGAACCCCCGTATCCTGCAGGTCAGCACCACTCACCAAGTTTGTAGAGAACGAGGGGAGGTAATGACCAGACAAGGTGCCAGAGGGGGCAGCCGGACACGGGAGGACAGTGGAGAAGTGAGAGAGGACAGGACCCCCAGAGGGGTCTGCCACGGAGACTGCAACTGGCCGACCAAGCGGCGTGAGTGTGGTGCGGTCTCGAAAGAAGGAGCGAGAAGCCCCTGAGTCAAGTGTGAAGGTGAGGGAGGCTGAAGCCGACGTGGTACCTGAGAGCGCAGACTCATCAGCACCTGAGGGCGCGGACGCACTGGCACCTAGAGCAGCAACCTCACCAGTACCTAGAGCAGCAGTACCAATGCCCGGGTCGGGCGGGAAACACCGGTAACAGTCACCCTCATCACTAATAGTCACAGCATATATGGCAGCAAGGATAGCATCAAAGTCAAGATCAAAGATAGCTACGCCTGCCCTAGACAGCTCTCCCCAGCGGGGGATCTCACTAGCCTCCGGGAACTGTTGACGCCAAGCGTCCGTCAGGCGGCCAAAGCAGCGCTGGGTGGGGTGAGCACCCCCACACTGCTCACCCGCGCGGTCGCCGAAGCGGAGGACGTAGGTGCACGGGCCAAAACCCCCACCACGCTGACGCTGCGTGTACCACTCACGGAGCTGCTGAGGAGGGGGGATGTCCCGAGAACGCTGCTGCTGCAGCTGCTGCTGCTGCTGCTGCTGCTGCTGCTGCTGCTGATGCTGGCGCTGACCACTCCCGGAGCCGCTCCGCTGAGAAGTACCACCTCGACCAGCTCCACCTCCTCCACCACCGCCGCCTCCACCTCCGCCGCCACCGCCGCCTACGCTCCCACCGCTACTGCCACCGCCGCCTCCGCCTCCGCCGCTGCCACCGCCACCTCCACCCCCGGCACCACTCCCACCTCCACCCCAACTCCCCCCGCCGCCCCCACCGCCACCTCCACCACCCCCGCTAGCCCCACCCGCGCCCTTGCCCCCCTTGCCCTTGCCAGAGCGGCGTCTCCCGCTAGGGGCAGAAGCCGCACCGACCGACTCAAGACCAACAAGGTCGGCCGCAGCAGCAGAGGCGATAGAGGGCGATAGGGGGGAAGGGGAACACCCCTCAAAGATGGGGGTGCGAGGGTCACCACGAGAGGCTCCTACAGCGACTATGCTCTTCTCCGCTGCTAGGAGGATCTTCTCTAGGAGGTCAACAGTGAGAGTGGTGGGACAGATTGAGAGGAAGTGGTCCCTGACTACGCGAAGGGAGTCAGGAAGGCGAGTGACGATATAATAGAGAGTGATGTACATGGGGGGGGGATTCTTGGCGCAGAACTCAGCAGGAAGTGCGGCGCGGTAGCGAGTGTCACTAGTGTGGAGGTGCGTAACGAGGTCAGCGACTGTGGGAAAGGCAGCAAGGTCAGGAAAGAGGTACGGTAGCATGAGGCGGCTCAGTGCAGCAGTGGCAGGGGAAGAGTAGCGCGCAACTATAGCGTCGTATAAGGTGTGAGCACTCTTGTAATGACTAAAGTGCGCGCGCTCAGAGGTAGGCAGGTGGCGACGCACATCAAGACGTGCAGCAGCATCGCGCGTGGCCCACTGGGAGCGAACAGTGGGGTCAGCATCAGCAGCAGGGGCAGGAGAGGCGCCAGAGGTGAGGTCAAAGAGGGAGAGACCGTCTACCCTATCGCACTGTAAGAAGAGCTGCAGGTCATCTACCCATACCTCAAAGTCAATGGCTCGACCCTCAGCGTCAAAAGCGAGAACACTAGGGGAAGCCATGACAGCAGTAGACTAGCGAGACCAACTGTAGGACAGGGGCAGTGCAGTGACAGAAGCGCTGGTCTCACCAGACAGGGCAAGTCGGGCAGCTCAGTAGTGCAGTAACCCGGCAACACGGCTGCTCGGACGGCACAGTAGCGACTGCGGCTCCGCGGCACCGGCGACTCGGCTGATCAGGCGGCTCGGGCGGCTCGTGCGGCTCGGGCGGCTCGGGCGGCTCGGGCGGCTCGGGTGGCTCGGGCGGCTCGGGCGGCTCGCGCGGCTCGGGTGGCTCAGGCGGCTCGGGCGGCTCGGGCGACTCGGGTGTCTCGGGCGGCTCGGGCGGCTCGGGCGGCGCGGGCGGCGCGGGCGGTGTAGGGTGGCAGGGCCGCTGGTGAACGGTGGCGGGGCCGCTGAGTAGGGCGGCGGGGCCGCAGGAGTAGGGCGGCGGGGCCGTAGGAATAGGGCGGCGGGGCCGTACGATTAGGGCGGCGGGGCCGCAGGAGTTGGGCGGCGGGGCCGCTAGAGTAGGGCAGCGGGGCCGGTGCAGAAGGGCGGCGAGGCCGCTGAGCAGGGCGGCGGGGCCGCGAGGTAGGGCGACGGGGCCGCGAGGTAGAGCGGCGGGGCCACGAGGTAGGGCGGCGGGGCCGCGAGGTAGGGCGGCGGGGCCGCGAGGTAGGGCGACGGGGCCGCGAGGTAGGGCGGCGGGGCCGCGAGGTAGGGCGGCGGGGCCGCGAGGTAGGGCGGCGGGGCCGCGAGGTAGGGCGGCGGGGCCGCGACGACGGGCGGCGGGACCGAAGCGACGGGCGGCGGGGCCGAGGCGACGTGCGGCGGGGCCGCTAGGGGAAAGGGCCGCTAGGGCGGCTCGACGAAGTGCGACTCGGGCGGAGCGCGCATCGGGCAGGAAAAAGGTCGATGTGGTGGGCCCTAGGCTTAGTTCCCACGGGGGAACGTGCTCGATACCATGAGAAAATGTGAACGAGAATGAATGAACTATGAAAGAGTTGGGTACAAGTACTAACCCTAATTGGGTTGTACCCCATATGGGCTACCCCACTGCAGCCTACACAAATGCATAAGCTATAATGTTCTGACAGGGTCGGCCGAGGGGCAATCGCTGCAGCCCGGGCGTGGTACTCGGCCACGCGTTCGCGAACCAGCTGGATCACCTCGCCTGACGAGGGACGAGGCCTCGCCCTCCGGTCGGTATCGGGATGCAGCGTCTCCCAGTGCGCGTCGTCGAACCACGCCGCCTTCATGGAAGGGTCCAGGAAGGTCGCGATCCACAACTCGTTGCTTGACATCAGTTCATACTTCTTCAAGAGACCCAGCGCCGCCTCAATCATCGGCTTCAGCGTAGCCGATGGCCTTTTGGCAAGGCGCGACTCCATAGCGTCTATCAGGCCGTTGTAGTACGGCAGGACCATCGCCACTGTAGGGTACGCCGCTCCCTCCGCGGCCTTTGAGACTTTGGCGAATGGGCTGAGGAAGGTCTTGACAGAATGCAGAGTCTCCCAATCTGCGTCTGTCAGGCGCAAGGTGTCCAGCTTCGCCTTGTCAGCCTTCGACACGCCCTGTCGGGTAGAACGTATGGGTGGGCGGGTGTTAGGGTGGAAAGTGGGTTGGTTGAGGTTGTTGGAGGTCCGATAAGTTTAGTCAAGCATGGCCAACAGTGGTGCAAGTCCCAGAACAAAACACCCCGTCATACCAACACATCAAACCGCATACACAACACCTGGCACACACACACACACCTGTGTCTGGGCAAAGAAGACAGAGATGGGTTCCTGCAGAACCCCAGCTCGCTCGACCATGTCGTGGGTCGACCCCCAGCGTGTGGGACTGTCCTGCACCAGCTTCAATGCCGGCTTCGGTTTGGCGGGGTTGCCCTGCGCGTTCAGGGTCCGCTGAAGGCCCAAGAACTTCCCTGAGCGCTGCGGCGAGAAGCCTATCCACGACGCCATCTCTCTCAGAATCTTCAGCAACTTGCGGATGGCGGTCACAGCGAGAGCTGCCTTCACTGCAAGGTTGATCACGTGTGCCAGGCATCTGCGCACATCACAAAACATTAATGGCGGAGTGAAAGGGAAGTGTGAGTACACATTGGCATAGACCCGAGAAACACTACCACTCTCAAGCCGCATAGGCCCACCCGCCCGTACTACAACCACAAAATGTTCACAGGAACGACGCACCCAGACTCCCTCATCGCACATCCCACGCACACTCCCTTTCGTACCAGAAGTGCATGCGCGAGTTGAAGAAGCACTGGCCACCACCCTCCTCCGACATCCACCTGAAAGCGGCAGTGTTGCTGGAGGCGTTGTCTGAGGTGAACCCAAGACAACGCGTCTCCAACCCCCACTGCACCACCGTCTCCTCAACCACCCTCGCCATCTGCTTGCCCGTGTGACGCCCGTGAATCTCGCGGAATTCAAACACCATTGTGCACATGTGGAAATTCTCGTCGATCCAGTGACCCGTTACCACTAGCCACGCCCTGTTGTTGGGCGCCGTCCACATGTCGATGGTGAACAACACCCTGCACCCCAGCTCCCCCTCCTTCGCCAGCATCTCCGCAATGGCTGACTGAAGAGCGGCAGCCGCATAGACCACTGTGTCGCGGGAAACCGTCCAGCGCGAGGGGATGAAGTTCTTCTGCGCGCAGTTGCGGTTTAGCAGGATGAGTAGCTCACGAAACTGGAGAGGGGTAGAGACAAGGGGGGAGAGGGGAGTAAACGTCAGGGGGATGGGATGAAAATAATATAGCACTGGGCCACACGCAAACAGTCAAAACACAAAGGGACAGACCCGTCCACTAACCACATACTTGCCCAATCATGCATGGGATGGGATGGGGCACTTACAGCCTCGGCCTCGACGATGCGGAAGGGGAGGTCGCAGGTGACCACCAGCTTCGTGATCGCCTGCCGTAGCTGCACCGAGGTCAGTTTGGTTGTCATCCACCGCTCGATCCCGCCTGACCCATGACCTCCACCAGTCGCCATCCCTTTCCCCTTGGCGAGCTGCGGCCAGGTCTTGGCATGTGTCCACTGATAGACGTAGCCATCCGGCACTCCCTTGTAGCCCCCACGGGGAAACGTCTCCCCTGGCAAGTGAACGGACGGGGTGTGGTAACGGTGATGCCACACATGCATGTGCGCAGCGTGGAAGCTCGCAAAGTGCCGCTCGCCGGGGGTTGTTGTGGATTGCTTCCACGAAATCCTGTCTGTGCAAATCTTGCACTGACGCTTATCGTCTGCCCCTAACGGTCCGAACATCATTACTTGCCACCCCGGCTTCCTATTTCCCTTGCCAGTCCCCTTACTACTCTCGGACCCTCCGTCCTCGTCTAGGAACTCGGGAGCGATCACACCCTCGCCCAAGGACTCCCCAGTGAACGTGCAGGGATACGCCCGCTCCCTCAACTTGTTGGCCTTCTTCCTCTGCCTCGGCTCCCTAATGGTCACGGCCTTTCTCCCCCCCACCTTAACCCCCACGCTCCCTCCCCCTTCACGCACATGCTGTGATCCCGCCTCTGTCGCCGCCCTTCCACCACCCTCTCCCACCTCCTCCTCCCGCCCCTCTGGCTCCAACCGATCCATCTCGTGGTCTTCATCATCATCATCTCCCCCCTCCCCACCGCCATGCGTCTCTGGGTCCCACGCCGCCTCGCTCTCATCCCCGCTCCCCTCAGTGTCCTCCTCCTTCTCGCTCTCACCATCCTCCTCCTCATCCTCCTCCTCACTGCCGCTCTCCGGCTGCGTCTGCCCCGAAGGAGGGGGTCGAGGGCCGTCGTAACGGAAAGAGCGACGAGAGGTCGGCGCCGGTATGGTAAGCAACCCCCCAACGAAGATCGCGCCGGCTCCTCCCGGTCCATCCCCTACTCGCCCCTGCATAGGTCGTGGTGGAGAACCCGGTGCGCTGCCCTGAGCCCTGCCTGCACCTCGGCCTATGGATCCACCAGCCCAGGAAGCCATAACTCCGCCCTCGACCCTAAACCCTAAAACACCCTTCCTGCAACGGTAGCGTTGGATGGTGCCGCACGTTCCTAAACGTTATCCCGCACGGTTAGGTCTCTGAAATGCCCGATCCGAATCCTACGGCGTAGGATATGCCCTACTTGAGCCCTTTGCGGAGATGCTGGCTGAACCTTAATAGTAACCCTAAACACCCTACACTATGTTAAACCCTATGCATAGATCTAATGTCCGTGTACATTGCAAGTATCGGCGTGCACTTGCTTGCACCTAGAACAAGAAGGCTAGGGCGGCTGTGTGAGGGAGCGCTAAGGCGAAAACGAGTTCTGAGTTTGAGCTCACGAAATGAGCTCAAACACAAATTGGTCGCGACCTAAATCTGGTCGCGGCCAATTTTGACGCGAACCTTTTTGGTGTTCGCGTGGCCCCCAAGTCGAACACAAACATGTTCGTGTTCGGCTTGGAGGCCCGAAATTCTGGGGCGAACGTCGAACATGTTCGGCCGAACACCGAACATGTTCGGCCCGAACAATTTAGGCAAAAAAAATGCCTGTTCGGTTCGCCTCGAACATGTTCGAGGCGAACCGAACAGGCGTTCGGAATTTTTGCTCATCCCTACGTACAGCAAGGTGTTTGACGAGCCAATCACGATCCACTAGGAGGATGGCACTCTCTCCGTGGACGACTCCTCCACCTCCTCCGCGTCTTCCCCTTCTGCTGTGTCTCTTCTCACTGTGCTGCCTGCGCGAACGGGAGCTGAGGTTGCTGGTGAGCTCTGCATGCCATACCACATGCCATACCACATGCCATACCACATGCCATACCACATGCCATACCACATGCCATAGCGCATGGCATACCACATGCCATGCCATGCCATAGCGCATTCCATACCACATGCCATACCACATGCCATAGCGCATGCCATAGCGCACGCATACCATAGCACATGCCATAGCACATGCCATAGCACATGCCATAGCACATGCCATAGCACATGCCATACCACATGCCATAGCGCATGGCATACCACATGCCATGCCACATGCCATAGCGCATGCCATACCACATGCCATACCACATGCCATACCACATGCCATAGCGCATGCCATAGCGCATGCCATAGCACATGCCATAGCACATGCCATAGCACATTCCATAGCACAGGCAATACCACATGCCATACCACATACCATGCTGCATGCCATACATACCACTGATACCACATGCCATACCACATGCCATACCACATGCCATAGCGCATGGCATACCACATGCCGTAGTGCATGCCATACCATACCACATGCCATAGCGCATGCCATAGCACATGCCATAGCACAGGCAATACCACATGCCATACCACATACCATGCTGCATGCCATACATACCACTGATACCACATGCCTTACCACATGTCATACCACAAACCAGACTCTATGCCTTACTTACCACATGCCATACAGCATGTCATACTCCGTACCATACTGTACCATCTGCCCATTCTGCACGCATGGCTAACCATACGCCAAAGTTGCATGCGATACCACATGCCATACCAAATGGCGTGCTGCATGCCTCTCTTCGTGCCATACTTCATGCCACTTGCCACTTGTAACTTCCTTCAACTGCCCTCTCCCGTTTCTTCATCTCTTCCTGCATTTCCCTTCACCATCAATTCATCTCCATCATCCATCCCGTGCATGCTATCCATGCATGCAAGGCAGATGTTGGGAATGCCACTGACAGCAGCACTCTCTTGAGCACCGCACGTGTCACTGCCACCACCACCACCACACCCTCCGCCTCCTCCTCCCCCTCCTCTTTACCATCCTCCGCTGCCGCAGCAGCGTATGACTGCTCGCCAGGCTGCCGGCTGGAGCTGCTGGCGAACGGGGTGTGCGATGCGGCGTGCAACACGCCTGCGTGCGCCTTTGATGGCGGCGACTGCGCGTGTGTCGACCCGCTCTTTGGCCCCGGCATCTGCGCCTGCCCGCCCGGCCACACCCGCCGCGACGATGGCTGTTAGTCGTTCCTATCCCTTCTCCACCCGCCTCTCCGGCTCCCTTCCTATTCTCACTTCACTTGTACTAATTCTGAGTTTGCGCTTTCTTTCAGTGGACTTCTTATCCTGCCATCCCTGCTCTTCCTTCCTCATACACCTCCTCCTCCTCCTTTCCCGCACTCCCCCATATTCAGCGTGCTGTCTATCCACGGCGGTGGGCACGAATCTCAACTTCCCCTTCTCACTGCAGCGCTACGGCCCCAACTACACGGAGAGCAACTTCGCCTTTGCGGCTGAGAGGGGCGTCGCTGTCAACCGCTTCGTGTCACGTCGCAACCGGTATGCACCCGAGCCTCCCTGCCCAGCCGTGCCTGCCCTACGACCCAGCCTGCCAACCCTAAACCCTAAATCCAACACGCCATCTTGCACTACCGAGAGAGGTAATGCTGTCAACCGTGTCGTCTTGTATCTGTACTGGAGGGACAGCAGGCTGCACCCACCCACGCAGTGTCATTTTGTTCCGTCATCTTCCATTTGCCCATCATAGCCTCTGCACCTCCGCTCACCAGCACGATCAGCTTCCAACCCTCGTCTCCCATATCCCTCTGCCAACCGCCCTCCCCCCTCCCTTCCTCTCCATGGCAGTTTGCTGATTGGCATGGTGCTGCAGCAGGATCGGTGGGGTGCGAAGCAGTGCAACGGCACTGGAAATTGGAGTGTGACCTGCTGGGCTCTCATGATGCTTGCCTCATCCTCTTGCTGTGAGTGCTGCCACCAGTTGCTCTTCATATCCTCCTTTCCCACCTCCTCCCCACTACCTGCGCCACCTCCTCCCCACTACCTGCGCCACCTCCTCCCCACTACCTGCGCCACCTCCTCCCCACCAGCTGCACCACCTCTTCCCCCATCCCACCAAGTGTGCCTCCTCCTTCCCCCCCCCTCTCCCCAGGCTGCTGCACTTGGCAGGGTGGTGCAGCAACGGCACGTCCAGGGAGCCGTTTGGAGTGAACCCGCACTTCCTGCCCACGTCGGCCATCTACGACAGCGCTGCCAGTGCCAACATGACCCAGCTCGACAACAACACCTTCGGTGTCAAACTGCGCTTCAACCCGCAGGGCCTCCCCTACGGCTTCATTTACCCCATGGTCAGCCATTTCAAGCATTTGAGCTCCGCAGAGTACGAACAAAAGCGTGAAATAAGAGAGGAATGATTTTGTTTGTTACTGTGATTGGTTTGCAGGAGTCCCTCACAACCCTCCCCTTGGTGTTTGATACCAATCTCGATAACGAGGTAGCCATGCGCCGTCTACACTACCTGGTGGATGGCAGCTATATCGACAATGGCACTCGCAGTGTGGACGTCAGCTTCATCACTTTCAACGGTACTTGCTTTGCTTCTCACCACCGAAGGTCAGATCCAACTGTACCTTGAATCTCACCCTTAGCTGTCCCAACCCAAATGCATGTCTTTGTTTCGGTCTTTTTATGGCATTCACTGCTTTGTCCCGTTCGCTTCCCCCATGTCTTGAGCTTTGATGACAACCTTCACCCCACGTTGGCAGGCGAAACGCTCACGTTCGTGCTGACCACAGTGAGGTGCACGTTGAACGCTGGAGGCAGCATGGCGGTGACCATAAAGTCACAGCCGGCAGCCATGGCCATGTATGATGCATCGGCAGGCAACATCGCACGGCTGGTACTGGAGGTGGTGTATTTGGTGGGGCTGCTCTGGAATGTGTGTGGCGAGCTGCAGGAGATGGCCGACCGTGCTGCCGTTGATGGCTCTGTGCTCAGCTACTTTTGCCTCGTGTGGAACTGGGTCGACATGCTCTCCCTCGCACTGCAACTGGCTGCCGTTGTCATCTGGTACGCAACCAGCCAAGCTGTGCGAGGGAGGGGTGGACCTTGCCTTGCTATTCATTCTGGGTTCATCACCTCATCTAGAATAGAACCATGCTTATGGCTGCTTCCTCACTGCTCATCCATCCCACCCACACGCCCTGCTTCTCTCATATCCCTGGCCTCCACATGTGCGCGCGTGTGTCGGTGTGGGCAGGGTGGTGCTGTGGCGGTACGTGGACGCGTTTGACATGCAGCCGCGCTACGACATCTACTACACGCTCCTCGAGATGCCGCGCTACTGGGCCGTGCCCAACCCGCCCACGGGCTTCATCGGCGCCACTCAGGCCTTCGCAGAGCTGCGCAACATCATCAACCTCCGCGCCGTCTACTTCGCCCTTCAGGGCATCAAGTGAGCCGCCTTGCACGCGCGAGTGTGTGCGTGCGTGCGTGGGTCAGTTGTCGTCATTATGTGTAAAAACACAAGCTGACCATTCACTCGACTCAATCGCTCATGTATAGCTGGCATTACGGGCTGATGATCAATCTTCAATTCACCACACTTTTACTCCCCATAATATGCTCCCTTACCCACTTCCACCTTTCTGCCCTCCCAATTCCCTTCACTGCTCCCTGTGCGTCTCTAGTGTGTTCTTCATGATGATTCGCCTGCTCAAGGTCATGGACTTCCAGCCCTACCTTGGGGTCATCACGCGCTCCCTCAGCCTCGCCACGCCCTCGTTGCTGCACTTCTTCCTGCTCTCCTTTGCCGTCTTCTTCTGCTTCAGCATGTACGGCTACCTCGTCTTTGGAGGCGCACTCGAAATGGTATGTGTCTGGCTCAGTGAATGTATCACTCATTTTGCTCGAGCAAGGCTCTGTGTTCAGGTTTACCTTGTTTCTTTTCGTAATTGCCAACCTTGCCTTTGCTTTATTTCCTTGTATTTTTTTTTTGTTATGTTTTTTTTTTCTGTCACGTCGATTACCCCAACCATCTCCCCCTCTCCCGCCCCCCACCCCACCCTCTGCAGTTCTCTACAGTGCTAGAGTCCATGTTCTCATGTTTCCTCCTCCTCCTCAACGACAACTCCTCAGCCTTCTTCTTCCAGCGCCTGGAGTCGTGGGACCTCATAGCCGCAATGCTCTTTTTCTTCATGTTCATCGTCTTCATGGTCTTCATCCTCCTCAACTTCCTCATCGCCATCATTGTCGATGCCTTCATGAGTGTCAAGGATAGCAACATCGTCGCCACCTCTATAACCTCTGACCTAGGGCACATTATCAAGTACAAGTGGAATTGCTGGCGTGGCCGTTACTTGCGGTATCCCGTCATTCTCGACCGCCTTGTGGAGTTGGGAGCTAAGGACACCCGAGTGGAAGAAGTGAGATCTGGGCACCCAAGAGCATCCTTGTTGGCAAGGTTAGAGGTCAAAGAATCCATTCATTGATTGCAATTTCTTACCAAATGGCCTGTGTACGCATGAGAAAAAAAAAATTTTCAAGCCCGTTTTCAGTTTAGCTCAAACATGTTGGAGTCTAACCGAACAGGGTTTTTTCTTTCCTCCAAAAGAACTTATCCGAAGGCGTTCAATATACATGGGTAATGGGGGGAGTTCTTGCCTTAACTCATCCGGAAGACCCGCCAAATAGCGAGTGACGAGTCTTGAGATTTTCGTCCTAGCTGAATAAAGCAAAGCTCGGAGAGTTTATAAACTCGTAAAACTCGTTGGTTGAACAGGTTTTTTTTGGTCTAGTGCGAGCTTGTTGAAATCGCACGAGCTTCTTTCGCTCATCGAGCATGCGGATCGAGAGTTTCAGCCGCCTATCCATGCCGATTAGCGAATTCGCCCCTCAATCTGTGCGGGTCGGTGATTTCACCCGCCGATTAGCTCATTTCAACGATTTCCGAGATTTCGCCCGCCGGTCCGCACAGTTCATGATAAAAAACAGTAATTTGCATCGAGTAATGAGCAAAGAGGATCTATAGTACAACCAAGGAGGAAGAAATGAGTGAAAAGGAAGCTAACGCTAGTGGTCACTAAGTTGGCTAATGGGTGAGTTTGCTTGTAGCTCAAGCAACCACAATTGTACTTTGGTTGGGATTGGTGGAACTAAGGACCAGAAGTTGGCAGGTGCCAACCAAGGACCAAGGACCACAACCAATCTTGACCAACCACAAGTTGTGTTTGGCAGGTACACCTAGGCATGAGCAGGGGGCGAACTCGAACTTGTTCGTGTTCGCCCCCTGACGAACATGGTCTTCTGCCGAACCGAACAGTGTTCGGTTCGGCGAAAGACTTGAGTGAAAATAGGTGTTCACCGTTCGCCCTAGGAGGCGAACGAATTGCTGCAACAGGCGAACACGAACACGTTCGTGGCGAACATGTTCGTGTTCGCCCAGGGGGAAATTCAATATAGAGTAAAATTCAAATCGTCGCACATTCTCTCCCCCCACCTCCCAAGCCAGTCCCGCCCTGCTTCATCCATCTAGTGCCAGCGTGCAATGGCGAAATGCTAGATCCGCACTTAAGCAGCGGCGAAATGCTAGATCCGCACTTAAGCAACGGCGAAATGCTAGATCTGCACTTAAGCAACGGCGAAATGCTCGATCCGCACTTAAGCAACGGCGAAATGCTAGATCCGCACTTAAGCAACGGTGAAATGCTCGATCCGCACTTAAGCAACGGCGAAATGCTCGATCCGCACTTAAACAACGGCGAAATGCTCGATCTGCACTTAAGCAACGGCGAAAATGCTCGATCTGCACTTAAGCAATGGCGAAATGCTAGATCTGCACTTTACTAACTGCGAAAGGCCAGATCTGAGCCCAAACACCAAGGCCCGCGACCTAAAAATTGGTCGCGGGCCTATTCGTCGACGAACACATTGGTGGTTGTCGAAGGCCCGTGTCGAAGACGAACACGTTCGTGTTCGACGCGCCTCGGCGAGCTGAGCCGGGCGAACGGCGAACGTGTTCGGGCGAACACCGAACACGTTTGCCCCAAACAATTTAGGCCAAAAAAAAATCCTGTTCGGTTCGTCTCGAACGTGTTCGAGGCAAACCGAACAGGATTTCGTCATATTGCTCATCCCTAGGTAAACCTCCAACCTCCCCCCAACAGTCCCCCCTTCCCCCCCCCTCTTCCCCTCCCCTCCCCTCCCCAATATAACAAGTTACTACACTCAATGATCTAGCCTATGGGTTGTATGAAGTATAGTATTACAGCAGGTCGAGCATAACCAAGATTCCTCTCCCAGCATATTTGCCACTTGAGTTTTCAAGCGATTCACCACCACTTACCTCTGTTCACTGTAGTGTACAAATCTCAACCACCACTTCAAAGTTAGACGAGAGTTTTGTTAGGCTGGGTTGTGACGAGGGTATTTATTTGTCATAATCTCCTCAAAACCGTTTCTTTTTTCGCCACACCCATCATTTCCCCCCTTATTGGGTGGGCTCATTGCTCGATGTGTCCTGAATTACTTCCCCGCTGGACTTAATCCTTGCCTTGTAACACCTTCCGCTTTCCTTTCACTCCTTAGTTTCCTGCTTCCAGTTCCCTGCCTCCGTAGTTCCCTGTTGCCCGTGTCTTAGGCTACCCATGCAACAAGTCTAAATCCTCCCTCGCAAGGGCTCCGTCAGTTTGCTGTTAACTTCTCGTAGCTGCTTGCTTCCTTGGTTGGGAAACGAATTGCAGTATTAAGAGAAACAAACAAGCAAAAAGCAAGGAGTCCGAGTGCTACTCCTGCCTACATCTACTCTCGCCTCCTGCCTAGGTTGCTTCCTCCACAAGCAAGCTCCTGTGCACCAAGCGAGTCAGCCGAGCTGCTTGCGAGGGCTCCAAGGTGCTAGCTGGTTCCCACTGGGCTAGCTAGGCATGCTGTCGGAAATTCCCGTACCTCTCCTTGTCCTGATGCCCTTCCCCTATCTCTCCCTCCTCTCTTCCCCACTCTCTGTCAGATCTCTCGTTTCTTATGTACCAACCCCCCTTGCTCTCTGGCTATGTTGACTCCTGCCTCTGAAGTCGTTCCCTCCTGCTTGCTTGCTTGATGTAATCTCATTGCTGACTTTGCTCCTTCTGATGCTTAGTATTCCCTATGAAGAGCTCGTGCAGCTTACTCACATCCACTAATGAGCACCACCTACGTCACTTCTCCATATCTCCAGGGTTTGTTATGGCTTGCCGCTCACCCCCACATGATTCTAAAGCAATCACATGAGTATTACAGGACATACAAACAATGCAGAGTCAAATGCCCGTACCCCCTATATCCTAGCCTACTTCCTCCCCCTATTGCTACACCGTTAACGCCCTTCGAAGGAGATGGCCTCCCACCGAAGCGAAAGGACAGCCTTCTCATCCTCTTGCCACCGCCACTTAGCCGCCCCACTGCTTGACCTCCAGCTCGCGCCTGTAACTCTAGCTGGCTCGGGCATCCAACCTGCAAGGAAACAAACATGCATTCTTCACACAAAGCAAAAGCTCCATCCAGTTGTCTCCCTTCCCCGCTCCCCCCATGCGACTGTCTGCTGACTCGGCAGCCCAACATCGCCCAGCCATCATCCGAGCCTCGGTCCCTATCCTCAGTACCGGTTTACTCGATTGCATGTACAAATGTACATTATGTACACTCCCATTCGTTCTCCATAAACTTGCGACAGCTGTCGGAAATTCCCTTACCTCTCCTTGTCCTGATGCCCTTCCCCTATCTCTCCCTCCTCTCTTCCCCACTCTCTGTCAGATCTCTCTTTTCTTATGTACCACCCCCCCTTGCTCTTTGGCAATGCTGACTCCTGCCTCTGAAGTCGTTCCCTCCTGCTTGCTTGCTTGATGTAATCTCACTGCTGACTTTGCTCCTTCTGATGCTTAGTATTCCCTTGCCCCCTCCCGTGACTCTGTGCCGCCCTCGCCCTTGTCACGGGACCCTGATATCCTGCTGCTCCTCCCGTACGGGCCACGTTGGTAATGTGGTCAACCGCTCTCACCCCTGCTTCGCTTTCCAACACCAGCATACCTGACTCGCGCACTTCCTTCAATGTCCAGTGTTGCTGTGATAATCCCACATCCAGCCCATCCTTCTTGGGACGCCTGATATACACCTCCTGTCCTTGTTGTAAGGCTTGTAGCTCTCCGCCTGCCCTCTGCTCCTGTCGCTGCCTATAGCGATGTATATCCCGTAGCTGTGTCACATGCAGACTCTCCGATGCCGCCGGCAGCAAACGCTTAGATACTCTCCTCGGACTGCTGCCAAGGCTGCCCACTTTTCTGCCGTGCCTGCCGTGACCACATCTATCAGAACTCGTGGTGCTCCCACTGGCAGTACCGCTTCTCGACCGAAGAGGAGATGGTAGGGTGATAAGTCCTTCAATGCGGCCTGCTTGCTAAACCTGTAGCCCGCCATGATCCAGTTGAGGTGCCTGTCCCAGTCTCGCTTCCTCGTTTCTCCGTAGGCTCGCAGCCCGCGCTTCAGGGTCTAAATGAGCCTCTCTGTAAGGCCATCACTTTGCAGATGATACCTTGACGTGGTGCGATGCGGAATCAGGCAAGAGGCCAGGAGTTCCTCGAACTCCCCTTGAAACTCAGTGCCCTGATCTGTCAACACTTCCCCACAGGCTCCGAAGCGTGTCAGCACCCGTTCTTCGAAGGCATCTGCCACCGCCTCTGCTGTCTTGTGGCTCACGGCTCTCACCTCCACCCATTTGCTCACGTGCTCAATCATCACCACCACATATTGCCGCCCTCGCTTGGTGAGAGGCAGTTTGCCCGCCAGGTCCAAGGACCACCAATAGCCCAGCCCCACGATCGGCAGTGGCTGAAGCTCCGCCTTGCTCTGTTCGAATGCTGCTCGATTCCTGATACATGTTGGGCACTTGGCGACCCAGTCTTTGATCTCTCTCCTCATTCCCGCCCACCACCATCCTGTCTGCAGCAGCTGCTGTGTGCGGAGTGGGCCAAAGTGTCCCAGTTTGTTGTGCACCTCCTATATCACTCCCTCCCGCTCTTTAGGCTCGGGCACCCTTTTCCATCCATCCTGCGTCCTGATCTGCACTTGGTTCTGATACCAGCGATAGTGCTGCCCCCTGCTCCGAGCCCTCGCTGACACCACCGCGCCCTCTGTCGTTTCTCCCTTCAGCCACGCTAGCGTCTCCGGGTCTTCCCAGACATCTGGTGCTCTTGCTTGCTGTTCTCTGCGCAGTGGCGTTGCGGGATCTGCCACCAATGCTGCCAACGCCATCTCTGGCGCCACTGCTGGCGGATTCCTGGACAGACCATCCACATGCTGCATGGTCTTTCCTGGACGGTGCCGAATGGTGAACTGGTACTCTTGCAGCTTCATCGCCCACCTGGCGTTCCTTCCCGTGAGGCTCTGGTTCTGCATTAGCCATGACAGCGGCTGATGATCTGTGACCAGCGTGAAGGGCCTGCCTTGCAAGTATACACGGAAA